CTTTCATAATCTACTCAATGCTTGTAAACCTTGGTGTCCTGATTTTAAAAGCTGCTCTACTATCTACCTTTCTAGATTATTGTTAAGAATAAGTGAGATAATTTCACTAACAAAGAGCTCTTCAAAAAAATTAGAACTGTAAGAGACTGATAGATCTGACTACATGAAAATATAAGATATCTGAGTGTTAAAAGTGAACAATATAAAATAGTACAAAAATTACTTAGACTTTTGTTGCTGTGACTAATTGTTTAACAGAAGTCTTCAAATGTATTTCATACACTCAGGATAGTAATGAAAGTAGAAAGGCTAAAAAGATTGCTATATCAAATTATTTTTTATTTCTAAAGTGTAGACAAAAGCCACAATTTGTATTTGATTATAACACTTTACACTAGTTGAACATAGACGTGGGCCTATATATTGCAAAACATATAAAAGACATAGAAAAGTCACAGTGTATCTTGTTGTGGCATTTTCATACTGTCAAACTAAATGAATTTGCCTATAAAGAAAATGGAGTCATTTAATAGGCTATGTATAAAAGATAAGCCCCAGGGTAATGAAGACTGTATTATCACTTACATAGATGTGTGTATTGGGGGTGTGTGTATCTTACAGATGGATAATTATGAGATATGGCAAGGTTTCTCTTCAGACAGGCTGCTCAGCCTCTTATTCTTTCATTCCAAGTACCTCCCACCTTCTCTTCTCCTTTTCTTCTTTCTAATTTTACTACATGGCCAGGCATGCCACAGCCCCAGCTCACATACCTTTCCTTATTTGGGAAAGGACTGGCTCCCTAGTCCGCCACAGTTGACTCCTTTCTTCTCTCCCATCACGCATTCACCTTATCTAAGAAAGTTTAAATGTTTAGTCAATTGGGTCTAGTTTAGACTGTGGGATCCACTCCCAGCCAGTGGGGAAAGAACACAGAGGCAGGAATTGCATTAGGAATAAAAGCTTCTCCTTTTCTTTATTCAGTGTGCTCTTGTGGCAACCGGCCCTACAAGAGGCACCCTTCTGAGCAGAAGTAAATTTGCTTTGCTGAGAAATTCTTTGTTTCAATGCTCTTTTTGCTTATGACTCCAAGCTTTATTTCTAACAATAATCAATACACATTATACTTCAGAAGATAATGAACAAAAATCTACCAAACAAAAAGAAAAAAATACACGTGGCCAAATATGTGAAAAACTGTTCAACTTCACTGTTAAAGAAACACAAAATAAACAAGACGTGACTTTTACCTATCAGTATGGCTAAAGATTAAAATCACTACTATTTTAAGCCAGTGGTTCACAGAGTAGTCTCTAGACTGGCATCATCAGCCTCATCTGGAAATTAATTAGAAGTGCAAATTCTCAAGCCCCACCACAGTCTAAAATCAGAAATTGGCAGTAGGACGCATCACTCTTAATTTAACAATCCAGTCCTGCTAAAGTTTGAGAAAGCTATTCTAAGGGGAAGCTGTAATGAGACATGTACTTCATATTTCACTTGCAGAAAAGTAAATGGATACAATTCTAGAAAGCAGTTTAGTAATATGTGTCAAAAACCTCAAAATGTTAACATTATTTGACTTCCAAATTTTACTGTCAGGAATCTTTAGTAAGGAAGTGATCAATTTCTGATCATTTCAGCACAATTTAAAATAGTGGTGACTGGAAATAACCTTATAACTATATATATAGGACTTGGAAAAAAAACAAAAACAACTATGGTGCATCCATGTGTGCAGATAAAGAGATTCACACAGGAGAGTTAGTTACTAGAGGTAAATATTTAAAAAAATGTTTATAATTATCCTTCTAGTTGTGGGATTACACTGACCTTCTATGTTGTGGGGCTATAGGAAATTCAAAGGGAACACTGGTTTGGTTTATAAAAATTTTTTCTAGATAACCTCCATTATAGTTTCTCTAAATAACAGCATAATTGGAAGTATCAAAGTTTCCCTTCCCCTCCTTTTTCTTTCTGTGCTCATATCCAGTGTCCACTTGGCATGAGGTATCAGTCTCTCCTTGCTTTCCCTGTTGCTAAAGCTACTCTTTTATGATCTGTTTCAAATGATATTGCTCCTTCTCATTGTTTATTCTTTTTATCCTATCATTTTTGAATTTAGAAACAATTTTAAACTGTAAAAGTTTAGAATTATGTTTTTAATACACATGATGTTACTTAAACAGATGTCAAAATGTAAAATTGTATCATGTACAATAATGCTATTATTACATTATTATATTATGTATTACAGCATAGTACAAGTCAACTTGGAGTCAAATAAATCTGAGCTTAAATCTCAGTGCCATTTTCTAATTTGGTGACATATTTCTTAACATATTTCTAATATGTTAAGTCTTTCTGACTTATAGTTTCTATAAAGTAGAAATCATAATACTTTTTCAAAGGTATTTTTGTGAAAATAAATGACAATATCCACTTAGTGCCTCATACAGACCCATACAGAGTAGCAACAAAAAATTATTAGTTCCCTTTTCTCTTTACCCCTGACAGTATCATATAATGAGCTGCTTTCAATTTGCAAAGATTTTTAAAGAGGTAGTGAAAGAAAGCATTTCTGTTACACTCTTGGCATGATTTAAATTTGTGTCCCACCCAAATGTCATGTCAAATTGGAGAAGATCTCTTAGGAGATCTAATGGTTTAAAAGTGTGTGGTACTTCCTCCTTTCCTTTTGTGTGCTCTCTCTCTCTCTCTCTCTCTCTCTCTCTCTCCCTCTCCCTCTCCATGCGCACACCCTCTCTGTCTTCTGCCACCGTGTGAAGAAAGTGCCTGCTTCCCCTTTGTCTTCCACCATGACTGTAAGTTTCCTGAGGCCTCCCAGTCTTGCTTCCTGTTAAGCCTGAGGAACCGTGAGTCAATTAAACCTTTTTCCCTCATAAATTACCCAATCTCTGGTTGTTCTTTATAACAGTGTAAAAATGAACTAATACACCTTAAAACGTTAATTTTTACTACATGTTTGAGAACTTTCCTGCTGAAATATGTCAAAATATTCAAATCATTACAAAGCTATTGGCTTTGGGTGACAGAATTATAATTTTTTTCCTTTTCTTTCTGACTTAAAAAAATTCCTAAATTCAACAATAAGCATATGCCATTTTCACACTCAGAAATAAACTTTATTTTTTAAAAAAATTCTCTTTATTATTTTTATCCTGAATAAAGATTACCATAACAAAATTAGGGGGCAGTTTATAAAATGCTAATTTCAGGCAAACTTGCAAGATGCTGCACAAGAGGTCCCAATGCAAATGCAATAGCAACCCATCACTAAGTCAAAACTGTTGTCTTTGTCTTTGGGAAAGAAATAGATCAGTGTGCTTCAAAGAGGGTACATTAGTTAGCAGCCCAGGGTAGGAAGGTAGACACCTAGCAGTGAGTTCTCAGAGAGAAGCAGGGAGGCAGCATACCCCTTTGTAGTGAGCTGAGATTAGATAGAAGACTGACCAGTGATGGGTAATACCCTTGCTTTAGCTTGGAAGGAAAGTGAAGCCATACACAAACAAATGTTTTGATAACTGCAAGTGTTTATGAGGGATGAGGGCTAAGAGTATCCAATTTATAGTAGGAAATTTCTCTTTTAGCTTTGCTCTTGCTGGGTGTTATGCTGCTTGAAATCAGGAAGTAGAATTTGATAATACAGGTGTTGATAAAAAAAAAAAGTGCACCTGAAATAAGCCTCACAGCCAAGCCTCCTGACAACACAGCAAACCTAGGTGCCCATCTAGTACTTAGAGCAGGATTTAAAAGTGATTCTCACCTTTTCCCTCTCATGCCCACTCAATCCATCTGAGACGATTTTGTGGCTTCAACATGCTTCTGAACACAAAGCTCCAGGCAGCCTCTACCAATTTATCCTCCCTCTCTCCAAAATGAGAAGATTCACAATCATACTTGTCCTAATTTTATAATCACATCCTTGCAGAATAATAGCCTCCTATTTGAATGCTACCTATGGAAGATTTACCCACAACGAATGCTACCTATGGAAGATCCCCACAGAGATCCACTTAATTGAGTATATATCTCATCTGAAAATTTATAACCTTTCCATATGGCATTATTTTAATAATTCAAGTGTAATTATTTTTAACAGTTGTCTTCAGCCTTTATAAGATTATCTCAAAATGATATAGCTACATTTATTTTAGGTCACCAACATCTTCATTAAGCAGAATAGCATACAGTTCTATCAAGTTCAAATCCATAAAAATGCATCTGGAAATTAAATAAATGACAACCAGTGAATTTCCATAATACATATTAACCAATAATGAGATACAGTTTTCATTCATAATATCAGCAATATCTGAAAGACTTGTATTCAGAAACACAGATCCTGTCACATAATACTGGTAAAAATATAAATTGGTACAGTTTTTAAAAGGGCAAATTGATACTAACAAAAGTATAAATGTGCATACTCTTTCCTGGAGCAATCTTATTTCTATAAATATATTGTATAAACTAAAATATACATTACATTTTGTTGATTTTAAGACGCACAGTTTTATATTTTACATTTCTGAGATTAGAATGTTAGGTTATAGTTTAATTGGCACTTTTTTTCTTTCTTGGTGACATATAAAATAATTGTGTTTTTTAGAATTGACAGACTCAGAGTTTATGAAATATGGTATTAAGGATATATTATTGAAGCACTGTTTATCTTGGCAGAAAACTAAAAACAACATAAATATCTATAAAATGCCATACTCCGTAGTCATTACGTAGGATAAGGAAGGCATTATGGTAGTATGACCATGATATATTTTAAGTAAAGACATCAAATTATAGATTGATGTGTAAGAGGAAAAAAAGATGAACGCTGGGTATACATTTGTATATACACATTACTGTATATAGCTTTTATAATTAAATGTTTTATTAACTTGATGCTAAGAAAGTATCTGGAAAGCAATTAATCTCATCAGAAAAGAATCATGAGGAGAAGAACTTAAAATGAAATTCACCTTTTCGCTGGTCCATCCCATGCCTGCAAGGAAAGCTATGACCAACGTGCACAGTCCTCCTGATCCAGGGAAACCAAAATGCACACTGCTGAACACGGCTAGCACAGACAACCCCAACACAAGGAATGTTCTCCTACACACAAGTTTGTCCTTCAGGAGAAAAAATTCATTCGATCAATTATTTCAAATCCCTGATTTTTAATGATTAATAGATTTTTCCATATCTAGGATTTAGAAAGAAAATTAAAATTAAAATAACTATGTAAATAGACAAAGTGTACAACATAACATTTACTTTCTTTTCTTCAACAAAAGCAGAGTTAGCACACTACAAAGGTGGGTTCTTTCAGGAACACCAATTATTCTGCAGTTATTAATGCAGAATTTCACAGCACTTAATGAAGTAGCAGAAAAAACGTACATGAGCGTTGGAGCTGGACAGACCAAGGTTAAACTTAAGCTTTTATACATCATTGGCATATGTAGTGTCCACACTGCTTAACCTCCCCAAGCCTTGTTTCCTGAAAGCATTCATATTATAGGGTTTGTGTGAAGGTTAAATATCTATCTCTTTATTTTCAGGCTTTATATTTCCTCTTTTAAATTTGATGTTCCCTTGGTTTTTCTTTCTAAATCTTTGAATACCAGGAAGCTTTAAGAGGTTCTAGACTGACAGTAGTTTTTGTTGCTGTTGTTTTAAAGTCTAATAATTGCGTAATTTTTTCCCCTTTACTTTTCCCTGTTTGGCCTTTGAAACTTCTTGATCACTTTAGAAAGTAGGTCTTTAAAGTGCTTGACTTGGCAAAGGCATGCAAGCTCTGGAGGTGAATTTCCTGAGTTTATTCCCAGTTCCACTGCTTTCTAGCAATGTGACCTTGTTCAAGTCACTTACCCTGCCTAAGCCTCAATTTCCCTATCAGTAAAATGGTCATGGTAATAGAATCTCTTTATGAACTATTTTGTGGATTGTACTAGAGCAGTGCTTTCCAATAGAATGTTTAGTGATGATGGAACCATTCTAGATCTGCTATAGCCACATGTAGCTATAGCAACAAAGTGGCACTAGATGATGATTAACTGATTTATGTATGTGTGTTGTGTGTGTATGTATGTATGTATTAGAGATGGGCTCTTGCTGTGTTGCCCAGACTGGACTCAAACTCCCAGAGGGATCCTTTTGCCTCAGCCTCCTGAGTGACTGGGACTACCAGGCCTGGCTAGAAGCTAAGGTATTTTGGTACTAAAAAGGATAATAAAAAAAGCTACTATACATTTGGGTTTAGTTAAGTATTATGAATATTTTAAAAACTTGCATATCCAATTACTTTGGAACTGATATTATTTATTTTATAGTGAAATTTTAAATGTACAAAATATTAAACAGAAACAAATTACAGGACCATATTAAAATCTTCCATACTGAGCCCACTTCATAAATCTCATGGACAGCACTGATATAGCAATAAGGAATTTTAAAATGAGGGCCCATTTGCTCAAATATGCCTTTCATATCTGTCTTTGAAGGAAGTATTCTAGAATGTTTTCCCAATGATATTTGAGAGCACAACCTTCCCACAGATTATTTCTTTCACCTGGTCACGGCTTGGAAAGTATTGAATGAAAAATCCTAGAACAGATCCAGTTGCCACACCAATTACCACCTCCAAAACTCCTCTGAGGACATTAAAGACAGTGGAGCCTAAAAAATACATTAAAAAAAACTTAGAGCTATAAATCCAACAAATACACAAGTTTTATTCTACAATCATCAACATAAAGCATCTAATTACAAAGAAGGAACATTTTAAAGACAGTTTCTGCTTTCTACATTCTTAATTATGTAAATAGAACCTATATTTTTCCCCATAGCATACAGGATTTAGGAAACTTTAATTAAAAAAAACTTTTTTGTTAGCACATTATGCAAAAAATTATATTAAAGTTTCTCCACACATAAAGCCCTTCTTCACAGACTGTCCTAAGAAAAAATATACTAACTAGTTTCTAGGGTCTCTTGCTATTATGGTAATCATCTCTCTTATCTAAATAAAATTACCTCTGAAGTGATTTTATTGAGCTAGGATAGCTTTCTGCCAGACAATGCTATGACTGTCAAAAGGATCCAGCTGTGATAGTAGCACTGTGCTTAAGCTATTGTGGTAAATAATTTACTATGAATGGGTAGAAAGTAGCTAATTAGCTTCAGTCTATGGTATAGTAAGGTGTTAAAAAAAAATCTCTTAGGCCCCACCCCTAAAAATCTGATTCAGTATGTCTGGCAGGGCTCAGATCCAAAAGGTCTAAGGACCACTCTTAGTTGGCTGGGGGTGGAATGGGGAAAGGAAACACAGCAGAGTCAGCTAGGAAGGTTCTCCGAGCTATAGCTTATGAAAACCCCACTGCCTCTGTTCTTTCTCCTCTCACCACCATGATTCTGATACAAACTCTGTTGCTCTAAAGCTGTGGTTCTTAATCCAAGCTGCACTAGTTTCCACTCCCAAAGGTTCTGATTTAATTGGTCTAAGATAGGACCCACATAAGGGTATTTTTAAAAACTGCTCAGGTAATTCTCGTGTGACGCTAAGGCTGAAAACCATTGTTTTAACAGTGTATACCAGGAAACTGGTAAGAACATAATTTGGATACGTGTAGTAGCATTAAAAATAAGAGTATGGAGTTGATTTAATAGGTAACAGAGAATCCTCAATGGTTCCTGAACAAGAAAGTAATGTTGTGAAAACAATGTTTTGAGAAAATCAGTTTACCAGGGATAGATGGAAGGCAGGCTCTGGAGCAATGAGAAAGAGCGGAGTTCCAGGTAACAGGCATAAGTTATACACAATCATAGAATGGGAAGATAACTATGGGGAGACAATGAGAATATATGACTTCCCAAGATGTGTTCCCACTATGGAATCTGAAGCTAAACTTAGGTTATAATTACACTTTGTCAATCATATAACATTGCAAATTTTATTTCCCAATTTTAGACATAAGATTAAGGAATGAACTTAAATTTGTGCCATGTCACAGGATAATAAAAGCATTGAACTGCTTCTTGGCCTTTTGGCTAAGGTCAAGTGTAGTATCTGTTCACATCAGTTTAATACAGATGTTGAACAACAGTGGGAGAAAAAATAAAATTCCTCTTTTATAATACTTGAAGCAAAATACATCAATTTCAGACACTAAGTATTAATAGGACACCCATTAAAAGCATTGCTGCTCATTACCCATAAAAAGCTGAGAAGGAGAGAAGAAAAATTGTTCTTATTTTAAAGGCATGCTGTTCCTTTTACTTAGACTGCTCTCTGTCTTTCGTGCTCCTTGAAAAACCTACTCATCTTTTGTGTGAAGTCTCCAGGCCTAAACTTTCCTGGATCACTTCAAGCACATGCTGTTCTTCAAACCTATCTTGTACCTCCCCTACTGCACCCAGTGTGTGCTACTTGAGCAGTCTCTATTTAGAGGGAGGAAGAGAGTAAAGATAGATAGCTTATGGCCCCTCCTTAGGTACAGAACTCTTAGTGTTCTTTGGCCTATTTTTAATTTGCCTTAATCAATTATTAAGTAAATATGTCATGCTTATAACATTTTAATCTACGTCTCTAGAGTGCAAGAGTAATAAAGCCTGTTGTGAACTCATTAGGTTACCTGTGGAAAAGGCTATGCCCAAGCAGGTGTTGAAGCCAGTGATAGCCAGAATGTCATCGAAGCTGCCAGCTGCCATGAGTAAGGTTGGGACACCTTTCTCAACACCATAGCCTCCTCCCTGTAAAAGGAGCATTGACGGTACCACAACTGCTGGAGATACAGCACCTAAAACAAAACTAAGCAGATAGTGCTTTAAACATTTATGATAACATCTTACTTATTATTATTTTGAAATTATAATACCCTCCATTTTTTAAAGGGTTATACTTTGGACAACTACAGTTGTTCAAATAGCAGAGAAGCATGAATCCAGAAAAACACGTATGTGTAAAACTTCTATAGAACACTGTTTTTCAAAATGTAGCCACAGACAACCTGCTTCAGACTACTTAGGTTGCCTAAAAATGTATTTTTATTGGTATAGAAGGCCTAATGAGGGTAAGTCCAGGATGCTGGCTTTTTTAAACCAAAAAATTTATGTTACAAAGTTTGAAAAACAATGCATGGACTTTCTGATTTGGAACTCAGTGATGCTGGTCCTTCTGTCAAGGATTGCTATGTCAAATAAGGCAACAGATTAGAAGAAAATGATATGACAGTCACATTGATGCCAGTAATAACAGCAGTTGTTAACAGCAGAAAGCATTTAACAGTACTTACTATGTACCAGACACCATTTTGAGCATTTTACATGTATTTGCTAATTTAATCCTCACAACAACCCTATAAGATAGATATATTTTATCTTTTAGAATTGAGGAAACTGAGACACAGGGAGATTAAATAATTGTTAAAGATCACACACTGGAAAACCACAGGGCTGGGATTTGAATCCAGGGAGTAGAGTTCAAGAGTCTTAACCATGAGAAGAATTTCTTATTTCTTGCTGACTTATTAGCATGAAATTCTCACTAAGTCCTTTCTAATTTATTTACTTTGTGTGGCTCTTAACCATTGGAAGTAAAGAATTGACAGTGGAAGGAGGAAAACAACAGTAGCTGTTGATCACTGTTGCTGTGTTCATTATCCTTTGTGCAGACTTTAGGTGAAATCTGGTGTCTCTTTAACAGGCATGGAATCAGGTGTAGGCAAAGGACCAAGACTTCTTCAACAGTTTAATAGTAGGTGCTAACTATAAGAGTTAGTGCCTAATAACACATAAACGATATTTTGAAGTTAGAATATTTAGATTATGCTGTAACATCTATCTTGCATTTTCTGATGTCTATAAGAAAATTCTATTATGCATTCTCTTGTATGGAATCAGGGAAAGCCCTAAATATCCCTACATATTGTCATATGACAAATAAACAATAATTACCCCAGTATAAATCCCCATTGCCATGGTAAACCCAGCAGGTAATGGGAAAGAAGAGCAGATGTGCACGCCTCCACAATACAGGGACCCATGGACAGTCTTACACAAACACCCTTCAACTTCTTCAGGGCCTGAAATAGAAAAATAGACATCCTAATGTAATCTTCTGAAGATGTGCAGAGAAGATGACCTTCCATGCTTTCTTTTCAGTATATGGACCATGTCTGGGTCATCACGAGTTTTCAAGGTAATGAGTTTTATTTGACAAACATTTTAGCACTCCAGGTGTTTTAAGACAGCTTATTTAGTCCTCAATACAACCTTATAAGTCAGGTAATACTATTATCCCCAGTTTTTTTTAGATATCCTCATCTGAAAAGTCACAGGCTAAAGTCATTTGCCCAAGACCATGAAACTGGTGAATGACGGGTCCAGGTCTGAACCCAGGCAGGCTGCTTTCAGCATCTGTGTTCATAATCTCTAGCTAATTTAACACTCTCATTATTAGTTTTATTTATAACTTGTGGTCCCAGAATGAGGCTAAGATGAAGAGCTTCATCCCCCAAGGACACTCATTCCTGTATTCAAAGACATACATGAAAACAAAGAGAATTTAAAAAGCATACTTGAGATTCATTAGGCAGTTTCCTGAGCTAGTATAGTTAGCCCTGAACACTTGTATAGGGCTTCACAAACCAAAAATATGTTGTTTTCTCCCCTATGAGCATTATTTATAGCCATGGTCTATATCTATGTCAGAGAAAAGTGGGGCCTTTATTCTTGGTGCTCTCCCCATACACAGACCCTACCTTTCTCCAGGAAAAAGAATGAGACCGGCGGGTGGGGTGGTTCATGCCTGTAATCCCAGCACTTTGGGAGGCCGAGGCAGGTTGATCACCTGAGGTCAGGAGTTTGAGACCAGACTGGCTAACATGGCGAAAACTCGTCTCTACTAAAAATACAAAAATTAGTGGGGCATGGTACTGCACATCTGTAATCTCAGCTACTTCAGAGGCTGAGGCAGGAGAATCACTTGAAGCTGGGAGGTGGTGGTTGCAGTGAGCTGAGATCGAGTCATTGTACTCCAGTCTGGGCGACAGAGCAAGACTTCCTCTCAAAAAAAAAAAAAAAAAAAAAAAAAAAAAAAAAAAAAAAAAAAAAAAAAAAAAAAAAAAAAAAAAAAAAAAAAAAAAAGGAAAGAGAATGAGACCATCTTTTGAGTTATTGCGAAGCACAAGGTCCTATGTGCAAAACAATCCTCCGTGAAAAAAATTCTATTCTATGCTCAAGAATGTCATGCAAAGTGTCCATATCCATTTCCTAATGCTTAGTGATTCTAAATATCTAAAGTATTGAAGAAACTAAATTCCTATTTAATAATGAGAAATTGACACATCATACCTTTGAATCCAGACCAAGGCCAGCACGAACCAGGATGATAGACAGGGCTATGCTTCTCAAAGAGGAGGACCATTTGTGCTTAATCTGTACATTATCATTGATGACTGGGATATTTCTGATGAGAAACCCTGCAAGCAGCATGCCTTGAATGAAGAAATCAAATATGTCTAGTTAGTTTTCAAATACAAAAAATATTTTTAGTGCTTTAATTTTATAGACACTACTATATAATTCCAGGAACCACTTCACTAATGCTTAGAAGAAACTGTTAAACTTTTAAGTTAAAAAAAAGTATAATAAATTAAAGCAGCTAAGAAAATACTTTAATGTGCAGATAAAAAGATAGATTATAATAATATTATCAAAATAACTGAACTTAAAAGGGAGATAAGATGCAGCATTTAGATAGATAGTATGATCAAATTCTAAATTTAAAATGTTTTTTAACATCTAAATACAATGCCAGTTCAGTCATCCCCTTGTGTGCGAACAGCAAACAGCCCCTGAAATTATTTGCTATGTCAGATTACTTGAAATATCAATAAATACTTCTATGGATTCTATTTTACCTTCAGAGTAGATAATTTCATAAGAGACATATAACCTACTTTGCAAAGGTTTTAGATATCAATTATGATGAAATGGACATTGCCCTGTGATGTCAGCTGGTGACTTCTTTCACTCAGTCATTCAGCTCTACTGAATGCCTTCAGTAAATTAGACACTAGAGTGTGCATCATGCATATAATAATGGACATTTCAAAAAGCTTTCAGCTTCTAGGGAACAAGACAAGCGGACAATATCAATTTTATGAAAGCATGAGGGGGATGTTATATGAGCTGAGACAGGAAGGGGAATTTAGAGAAGGGGAAGGGGAGAAAAAAATGGCTGGGGGAGTTGAGAAGTTTCTGGAAAAGACAGTAGTTTATTCAAAGGTAGAAGAAAAAGTGACTCACTCTGAAAACTGCAAGTAGTTGAGTGTAACTGAGGAAACTGAGTAGTTTGTGAGGGAATTCTGCCTTCATTGATACCACATGCCCACACAAAGGGAAAGGTTTCTGTGAGAGACTGTCAGCCTCTTCCCTCCATGCTTCTCCAGCAGTGCCCTGTTTTCACCTTGTCCTTATAAGCACCACACTTCAAACAACTAAATAAATTTACCGAAGTTAGTATATTTTGTGATGCAAGATGGGTGAAGAGAGACAACTGTAAGTAGAGCTTTTCGTGACCTGCTGCACATGAAAGCATCACGCCAGGCGTCTCATCTCTCATCACTGCCATTTATCTATGGGAAAGACTCTAAGTTCTGAATGCTGCAGTGACAGTCTTTCTGGAACGTTTATTGGGCAACAGTATGAACAGGCTTGGTTTTTGGAAGAAATAATGATGAGTTATATATGCACATGTTAAAATTAAGAAACTGTTGACAAATGTAAATTGGCAAGTACATACTGTATCCCAACTGCAACTTTCCATCTTCATTCTTGAATGTTTTTTCACTGTTAAGGGTCTTTTGTGCCTTTCCAGAAAGTTTCTGTAACTATTCAAGAATATTTCTGTGTGGATATGCTCTTTTGTGCTGGTCACAAATAGGACACTTATATACATGTGTAGCATGTTTTGTTTTCCCATTTAATAATATATTCCGCACATTTTCCCACTGAAGCACATATATATTTGCTTTATTCCCCTTTAATAGCTGCAATAGTATCTCACTGTTTGGAAGTTTCATAATTTTTGGACCACTAATCTATTAATAGATTTTAAGGAAACTTTCAGGTTTTTCCTTATAAACAGTGCTGAAATGAGCACAATTCATACATCAAGGTGAGCGAGCATTACTGCCTGAGCTCTGCCTCCTGTCACATCAGCAGTGGCATTAGATTCTCATAGGAGCATGAGTTCCATTGTGAACTGCACATGCAAGGAATCTAGGCTGTGTGCTCCTTATGAGAATCTAATTAATACCTGGTGATCTGAGGTGGAAAACTTCATCCCGAAACCATTGCCCCTGTCGTCCATGGAAAAATTGTCTTCCACGAAACTGGTCCCTGGTGCCAAAAAGTCTGGAGACTGCTTATCTAGTTCACCTCTTTGTTACTAGGATCACATACAAGGCTAGCATGTAGCAGGCACTACGAAACGAATAAGCATGGGTAGGTTCCAATTAACATTCAATTTATAAAAAGAAGTGGTCTGCCAACCCTTTATTCTAGCATACAGGCATATTAAGAAGCAATTCATTTTAATAGTAATTCAATTAATAACTTTAGAGAACAAAAAACATCCATGAGAAATAATATGAATTAAGTGGAATACTTTAGTTTTACCTAAAATTAGAAATACATTGAGAAATGGGGCATACTTCATGCTTCTCCAGCAGTGCCCTCTTTTCACCTTGTCCTTATAATTCTACTTCTTTTTATATTTAATTTTAATTACTGACCACAAGTTCAAAAGCAAATAGTACTGGTGTCTGCTAGCCAATCCTGATTGTTCTCACTCATATAGCTAACAGAAAAAAAAAAAAAAAACCCTTCAGGAAATATGTGCAAATATATATACATGTATGAAAAGGAGGTGGTTTTTTACTAAAACTGGGTGATAATAAATCTCTTAGAAATGAACACAAAATGTCTCTGTGGTAAACAAATTTTATAATGCAGAATTCTTTGAAGAAACATTAAATGTATCACATCTAGTTTTAAGACTAATTTGTGTATATGTCTTGTTTGGGCAGTTCTCTTTGTCTCTGAGGGATATTTTCAGCTATGTCTTCAATAATCATAATATTTTATTTTACTTTTATCCTTTTTGAGATGGAGTGTCGCTCTTGTCACTCAGGCTAGAGTGCAGTGGCACGATCTTGTCTCACTGCAGCCTCCACCTCCCTGGTTCAAGCGGTTCTCCTGCTTTAGCCTCCCAAGTAGCTGGGATTACAGCAAGCCCAGCTAATTTTTGTATTTTTAGTAGAGATGGGAGTTTCACCATGTTTGTTTTCAGTAGAGATGGATTTTCACCAGACTGGTCTTGAACTCCTGACCTCAGGTGATCCACCTGCTTCGGCCTCACAAAGTGCTGGTGTGCTGGTAAATGTTTAACAAGTGGCTTACCGAAAAACGTATGCATTTTATATAGGCACATACATTATTAAATTTTACTGATATAAAGGATGTGCAGCACACAGTTTACAAATATACAGTCTCCACTGTAAATTCTATATAGCCAATTTCTTCTCATAGAATGTTTTCACTGCTGTTTTTCAAACTTCTGTGTCCATAACCAACTATGGTTGCAGTTCTACCAAGATTTGACAGAATCAGACAAGAAATAAGTGGTTGTGTACTATCCGATTCAGCAAAGAAGTCACACATCATGGATGAGTGAATGCAGTTTCACCATGAATGTTACTTGATATTTTTGCTTATATTAATTAATAAGATGAAAATGAAACAATAAAAATACATGTCAGAACTTCACTCTGTCAATGATGTAAGTGACTTACACAATGACAAACCTTGATTTGTAGCATTTGCTGATTTTTTTGTTACAGATACTTCTATGGCCGATTTTAAGCTACAATATGATGTCACTGAAAGTGGAGTTGGGAAGAGGTGGCAGTGGCACACCATTATGTATATTTCCACGATCTCAAGAGCATAGGTGAGGGGAAATGGAGTAAAACAGGAAGTGATCAGTGTTGAGCACTGACGGCTTTTTTTTTTTTTTTTTTTTTTTTTTTTTTAAATGATTTTGCTTTTTTATTTTTATTTTTTGTGTTTTTGAGACGGAGTTTCGCTCTTGTTACTCAGGCTGGAGTGCAATGGTGCAATGTCGGCTCACCGAAACCTCTGCCTCCTGGGTTCAGGCAATTCTCCTGGACGGCTTGTTTTTAATGTCAGTTATTTAATTTTAAGTTTGTATATGTATATATTTTTGCGACTAGGTCTTGTTCTATTGCCCAGGTTGGAGTGTAGTGGTGCAATCATGGCTCATGGAAGCTTTGACCTCCCAGGTTCAATCAATCCTCCCACCTCAGCCTTCTGAGTAGCTTGAGACTACAGTCACCAAGCCCGGCTAATTTTTGTATTTTTTTGTAGAGACGGGGTTTCACCAGGTTGCCCAGGCTGGGCTCAAACTCCTGAGCTCAAGCAATCTGCCTACCTTGGCCTCCCAAAGTGGTGGGATTACAGGCATGAGCCACAACACCCGGGCCAGGATAATTTAAGTTTTTTAATTGCCACGTTTAACAACTGGATCACAGGACTCCTCAAAATTTAACAACTGGCTTTTGGCTCCAGCATGGCAAATACAGAAATATTTCATTCCTTCATTTCTCAAAGCTTTCCAAACTATTATTTTAAAAATGTGGTTTACTCTGGAGAAAACAGGAAACATTTAACACTTACCAAGAAGAGAAGGCAGTGGAGGCAATGTAGGTAACTTAATAAGCTCCAAAAGTTTACCTCCAGTGATGGCACAATAGAATAGAATTATAACTCCAAATAGGTTTCCTCCAGGAAGACATTCACTGCCAGTAATTGACCAAACCACAGCCCACAGAAGAACAATAATGGTAACTGAAATAAACCAGGAACACTAGTTACTATCAATCAGTTGTCACATGCAGGTTTTGAACACAATCTAAAATAATTTTTACAAATAAATACTGAATGAAAATGCAAATATTTATAATTATGTTTAATCTGTAAAGAGTATCAGTAAGATGAACAACTGGGTAATTGCCAACATCTTAAGAAATAGGATATTATTTATGAATTTGTCTATCTGCCCCTCCTCAACCATCTCCCTTCACCCTGCCAGAAGGAACCATTGATTTTTTTTCACCATTCACTTATTTTTCTTTATAATTTTACCACAAATATATTATTTAGTTCTGCCTTGAATTAGAATTATTATTTCTTTTTTTAGTCAATATTTGTTTAGAATTACCTACAAAGTTACCTTTTTCGAAATCATTATTCATCATGGCATTTCAAACTTTTCTTTTTGTTTTGAAACAGGGCCTCTATAGCCCAGGTTGGAGTACAGTGGCACGATTATGGCTCACTGTAACCTTAACCTCCCAGGCTCAAATGACCCTCCTGCCTCAGCCTCTTAAGTAGCTGGACTACAGGTGTGTACCATCATGCCCGGCTAACTTCTTAAAATTTTTTTAGTAGAGACAGGGTTTCATCATGTTACCCAGGCTGGTCTTGAACTCCCAAGTTCAAGCAATCCTGTCTCAGCCTCCCAAAGTGCTGGGTTTATAGGTGTGAACCATCTTATCTGGCCTCAAATTTTTCATCTGGGACAATTATCCTGCTGCCTAAAGTGTCTCCTTTAGGGAAAAGCATTTCCATAAGAATGTGAAATAGGCCAGGCGTGGTGGTTCATGCTTGTCCCGTCACTTTAGGAGGTCAAGGCAAGAGGATTGCTTGCACTCAGGAGTCCTAAACCAGTCTGAGCAACATAGTGAGATCTCATCTCTGCTAAATATAAAATAAAAAAAAATAGCTGGATGCGGTGGTGGGCACCTGAAATCCCAGCTACTCAGGAAGCTGATGCAGGGATCACTTGAGGCCAGGAGTTCGAGGATGCAGTGAGCTACAATTATACCACTGCACTCCAGCCTGTTACACAGCAACACCCTGCCTTAAAAAAAAAAAAAAAAAAAATGAAACGTTTGCCTGTTTGAAAACTTGTGTTTTATAAACCTGTATACTAAAAATTGAAAAGCTCATGGGGAAAACAAAGTTGAGGCAGACCACTCAAAACTGGTGACCAAAGCACTAAGAAAAACCAAAACAATCCTAATAAGAGTCTTAGCACAGATGGATCTACACTGACATTCATGTCCCATGCAGGCAGTCTGTTCTTTACAGACTTAAACCTGGCATCACATTGCCTGCTTCAGGATGGAGATTCTCAAGGGTATTTTCTTTAAGCAGAGAGCAGTCCCATCGAAATCTGATCCATATTGTAGCCCTCTGCATCAATAAAAAAAAAATGTCAAAGAAAGAAAAAGCGTTGGCAGCTTCTTTACCTCAGCTTGTACTCTCAGCCCCTTTATCCACATGCGTAGTTTTATTAGATAGCTTAATGCTGTAGAATGTTTGAGTCCTTGAAGCCCCTAAACCAGCTACTAATTGCTTGAAAAGACAGCACTTCTACAGAGATTTCATTGTTTAAAAGGTCCTCATGTAGGGTAGGCTTTATCTTTCATTGTAAGAAAGCATATATTTGGTCTTTATTCCCCCAATTCACTTTGCCTTCACTTGCTATTGCTTAATGATACAAGATATTAATGGATCAGGAAAAATTATACACAAAACTGCAAATTCCATGCACTCTGACACAATTCTCCTATTTACCACTGCATATGAGCTAATTCATGATATAGAAATACTCTGTATCAGAGCATGCTGTATTTCTCAAGAGAATCTGTTGTAGTAAATTCTTAGTTTTATTGTCTGGAATTATCTTTATTCTCATTCTTAAAATACAGTTTTTCTAGGTATATCCCAGTTTTACCTTAAATTCTATGTATAGTATTATTGTCTCTCTGTTCCTTGAAAATAATATTCCTTGGTTTTTCTGGTTTTGAAGAGCCTAATTTCAGCTATTTAAAGGAATTATTTTTCCTTGTTTTTAACATCTTCTCTTTTTCTTTGGCGTTGATTTCAGTATGATGTGTTTAGGTGTGACTTTCTTTTGTTTTGCTTAGGATTAATTTTTTTAAAGAAATCAATTCTGGAAAATTCTTATTCTTTATTTCTTCAAATGTTTCCTCTTTCCCATTCTCCTTTTCTATGTTGATAGCCCTAGTTCTCATATTTTTCATCTTTGTGTGTACTGCATTCTAGGTAATCTCTTCAGATTTATTCACCAGTTCACCAATTTTATTTTTATTTATTTATTTATTTATTTACTTATTCTGCTGCCTAATTTGTCCATTGAGTTTTTAATTTCAACTACTATCCTATAGCTTTCATTTCTAGAAGTTCAACTTGGTTCTTCAAATCTATTCATTTTTAAAATAGTTATTTGTTTTTTACTCATGTTTTCTAATTCTTAACTTCTTTATAAATGTTTTATATTCTATTTCTGATAATGCACCTTTTTGAAATCAGTTTTGCTTCCTTTTGCATGTTGTAGTTTTTTTTTAGTTAGTTTTTTTTTTTTTTTTGCAACAGTGAGCTCTCCCTTGAAACTCTGTCTAAAAGTAAACTTTTTAGTTTGTCTTTTGCAACAGTAAGCTCTCCCTTGGAACTCTGTCCAACTTTGTTGGAACCTTTGGTTGAATGAGTTTTCCCAGATGGGATCTGAATTTACTTCTACCATGTACTTGAAAGCTTACCATCTGAGACCATCTGAAAATGTTGTCTGAAAATAGATACATTTTCAAATTGAATTGTTTCTGTTAAATTGAAGACAAATCAGGATGAAGTTAAACATTTTGATTGGAGACCCCACACCTGCCCCAGCCAGGAACCACAGTTGAGACAGGTTTAGTTACAGGCCTCACCTGCAGAACAGGTTTACCTCAAATTTGCCATCACATTCGGTTTCAGCTTTATGTAGGTGAAGGAAAATGCTTTTTTTTTTGGTTAGAATTCTCCCAACCTGGGCAGGCTCCAGCTTAGCCTCCTGTGCTCTCAGCACTCTCAAAATCAATCTCAAGTTCCCTGAGGTTTAGAAACATCCAGGGTGGAGCCACCTTGAGTGCTTATTGATCTCTTCTACTTACACTTTGGTTCTGGTGTCTGATGATTCCCTGTTTTCCTTACAGATTATTTCAAAAGACTTAAAATATTTTTTCAGATGGTTTCCTTGGTTTGTGACAGGATTGCTCATTGAGTCTTGTCTACCGTACTGCTAGAGATTGAATTCAATGTGCCTTTTTCTAAACCCTCACAGAATTGTTCCAGATTTTCTAGGCTTATGATACTACTGCAGTAAAATAACTAAGGGACTTTTGGTATTTTCCAATTAGCTACAAGGGTTAAAGTTTCTATGCAATATTAGAGATAGATTGGGAAAGCAGGATTTGCCAGTTATTATACTAAATTCTCCTTTATTGCAGCATAAACCCAAGTCAATATTAAATTCAGCAAGGTGGAATTAAGATTCTTGTTTTCTCTTTTCTACTTCAAGATTATTAAAAAAAAATCTCTAATTCTCTTTCCCTGTGCCTTACTTGAAATACCGTTGTAAATACGTAGCAAATGGTATGTCTATAAAGTTTCTCTAAATCATGTTTAAATCAGTTAATTTACTTCTCATTTACAATTATGGAAAACCACAGATTTTCACATGTAAGATTTACTTTTTTTTTTTTTTTTTTTTGAGATGGAGTTTCACTCTTGTTGCCCAGCTTGGAGTACAATGGCATGATCTCAGCTCACTGCAACCTCCACCTCCCATGTTCAAGTGATTCTCTTCCCTCAGCCTCCCAAGCAGCTGGAATTATAGGCACCCACCACTACGCCCAGCTAATTTTTTGTATTTTTAGTAGAGACAAGGTTTCACTATGTTGGCCAGGCTGGTCTCGAACTCCTGACCTTGTGATCACCTGCCTTGGCCTCCTAAAGTGCTAGGATTACAGGATTGAGCCACCACGCATGGCCTACTTTTTAACAAGATTACTGATATATACTGCATAGACACAGAAAAGAGTATAGGACAAAAGTTGTCTTGTAAACCTCTGGGACAGAAGAACAGAAAAATAAGCAATGAGATGTTTATTTAACATGAATCTCATTTTTCAGGCTGCTTTATGAATGATTACACAATTTAAAAATATGAGCCTCAAAATTACATTATTCATTTTTTACTCTTACCTTATGTTGGTCCATATCTATTTCACTGTAAACATTTTAACTATAAATGTGTCACATTTTGAATAATAAAAATTTTTTTAAAAAATAAAAAGAACAGAAAAGGTATTAAATTATCTGTTGTCTTATCAGCTAGTATACATTTTTGGATTCTGGTTTTCTATACATGTTCTAAGTTTGAGATTTTCTTCCATGCTAGTTAAGTAACCTGACTTGGTTTCATTAAAACATATCTAGAGCCTAAAGTATCACATATTATGCTTGGCTTTCACTGTCCCAGATGTTAATGGTAAACATGTCTTTCAGAGCCCACAAAGTATAACTATAGAACTGAGTCTCATTTTTCAGTAAACATAACACATATGGGAATCCGTATATTTACTTTGATGATGTTATTATTCCTCCGCATAATTTTTGAAATTGCCTTTAAATCTGCTTTAAAAGGCAAATTTTAGTAAGGCATAAAACTATGAAACTATTAGAAAAAAACATGAAGAAAAAGCTCTATGACACTGGTCTGAGCAATGACTTTTTGGATATGACTTCAAATATATAGGCAACAAAAGCAAAAACAGGCAAAGCAGATTACATCAAACTAAAAAGCTTCTGCCCAACAAACAATCCACAGCATGAAGAGATAACCTACAGAATGGGAGAAAACAGTTGCAAACTATGTACCTGGCAAGGAGTTAATGTCCAGAATATAAAAGGAACTGAAAAAACTCAATAGCAGGAAAACAAATAATCCAATTTAAAAATGGGCAAAGGACCCGAATTTTTCAAAAGAAGACATACAAATGGCCAACAGGTATAGGAAGAAATGTTCAACATTTCACCTCATGCCTATCAGGATGACTATTATCGAAAAGACAAAAGATAACAAGGGGTTGGCAAGGATGTAGAAAAAAGGTAACCCTGTGCACTGCTGGTGGGAATGTAAATTAATATTACCATTATGGAAAATAGTATGGAGAGTCCTCAAAAAAGTAAAAATAGTACTACCATATGATCCAGCAATGCTATTACTGGGTATGTATCCAAAGGAAATGAAATCAGCATGTTGAAGAGACGTCTGCACTCCCTTGTTTATTGCAGTACTATTCACAATAGCCAAGATATGGAATCAACCTAAGTGTCCAACAATGAATGACTGGATAAGGAAAATGTGGTATATACACAATGATATACTTTTCAACCATAAAAAAGAATGAAATCCTGTCATTTGCGACAACATGGATGAACCTGGAAGACATTATGCTAAGTCAAATAAGTCAGGCATAGGAAGACAAATACTGCATGTTCTCACTTATATGTTGAATCTAAAAAATGTTGTTCTTATGGAAGTAGTAAATAGTACAGTGATTACCAGAGACTAGGGAGGGGAAGAGCTTGGGGTTATGGGGAGAGAGTGGTCAACAGGTACAAAGTGATAATTAGGAAGAGTAGTTTGTTCTGTAGCACAGTAATGCGACTATAGTTAGGAATAAGGTAATGTATACCTCAAAATAGAAGATTTTCTATGTTCTTACCACAAAGAAATAATAAATGCTTTAGGTGACAGATATGCTAATTAGCTGGATTTGATCATTACACAATATATACATGTATCGAAACATCATATTGTACCCCACAAATATGTATAATTATGTATTAAAAATTAAATAATGCTTATGAATGGATGTTTATATTTTTGAACAATTCATTTTATATTTTGATGTTACAATTATTTTCTCTTTTGAAAATATGATTTGTAAAGGTGAAAACTTGTGGATAGATTCCAGGCATTTAAAAGTTGGCAGGTTGACCAGGCATGGTGGCATAATCCCAGCACTTTGGGAGGCTGAGGTGGGCGGATCATAAGGTCAAGAGATTGAGACCATCCTGGCCAACACGGTGAAAATCCGTCTCTACTAAAATATGAAAAATTAGCCAGGCATGGTGGCATGCATCTGTAGTTCCAGCTACTTGGGAGGCTGAGGCAGGGGAACTGCTTGAACTGGAGAGGTGGAGGTTGCAGTGAGCTGAGATTGCACCACTGTACTCTAGCCTGGGCAACAGAGCGAGACTCCATCTCAAAAAAAAAAAAAAAAAAGTTGGCAGGTTAAAATTAGTTTTGCCAGGTGCAACGATATACATCTGTAATCCAAACTACTTGGGAAGCTGAGGTGGGAGGATCCCTGGAGCCTGGGAGTTCAAGACCAGCCTGGGCAACATAACAAGATCCTATCTCCAGGAAAAAAAAGGTGGAGTGGGGAAGAGGTGAAAGTGCAAGGAAGACAATGACCAATGCCTTGACAGATAAATTTTCTAGACTTTAAATCTAAAGATCCATGAAAAAAAAAGATACACACACACACACACACACACACACCCATATATCTTAAGAATATTGGGTGATATATATATATAGGGTTGTTGGGATATAAAATTTCAGCTAGACAGGAAGAGTAAGTTTAAGAGGTTCTATTGTACAACATGGAGACTATAGTTAATAATATATTGTATTCCTGAAAAATGCTAAGAGTAAATGTAACATGTTCTCATCACAAAAATGATAGCTATGTGAGATAACACATATGTTAATTAGATAAAATTCCTCATTCCACTATGTAGACATACTTCAAAACATCATGTTGTACAAAGTAAATCCATACAATTTTGTCTGTCAATGTAAAAAACAATAAATTTTAACTATCAATAAAAGTATATTGTCTTCTTAAAAAAACTAATTTGCCTTTATAGATAATTTTCAAATCTCTTCTTGTTTCTACTATATCACATATCCCCTAGCACACAGACACATATGCACACAATTCCTTTAACAAAAATATGGTATAAATGAATCTGAACTTTCATGTATTTATCAAATTGATAGCAGAATAACCTTTGGCTGTCTCTAAAGACCAAATTCATTACTAAAAGACAAATACATCACAACCCTAAAAATATTAAAAATATTGCTGACATAAATTCCCAAAGAAAAATCCCCCAAATGTCTTATACAACAGCAGCTCTACTAAAATAAGCTGAATTGCAAACCAATAATTCTTACTTACAAAGTAATAGAATTCATTTGGAAGTATAAATGGGGCTGTGTTTGCTAAAATGTTAGTTGCATTAGTTAAAAGTAATAACAACCAACATTTATGTAGTGTTTTAGATAGTCCTAAAGTAATCCTGTGAAATTACTCAGATATAGTAAAGGAAAAGGTCCTTGATCTGTGTTTCTCCCCTCTTCCCACGATGATGGTGACCACAGTGATCCTAGAAGCCAAGGTGAAGATGGTGGAGTCCTGTTAGCCTAGATCCTTCCCTTGAGTGTGTGGAGCAGAGCCACCCATGTGTGTGACTTGTTCACCAAGTAGTTTTTATATGTGGAAGAAGTCAACCTCTTTCTGTCCTTTCAACCGTATTATTTAGGAATCTGTCATTATAACAGCTTCATCTTTTGCCATCTCTTTCTGAATTCATCCTTACCGTTTGTTATGACCTTGTCCAGTAAACCATGTGGAGGGCAAGCCAGCATTTGTCTCAGTTTTTGTACGTGATTTGCTTCAGTTGGTGTTTCTTGTAGCTTTTTTTCACTGCTATCCAATAGGATACTTCCTTCTGTTGGTTCATTTGCATCTATACCTTTGAGATTCATAACTGTCTCCTCCTGTATTTAAAGTAATTTTAAAAATCCTTAAAACTCTACATATTTTACACATTTTTATAGGTACTGCATCACCACCTTACAAATCAGATTTCTATGACTAGAATCAAGGGTAACACTTTGTAGGGAAAATATACAGCTTTACTACTAGCGAATCAGCTTGAAATAAGAATTATGCTAGGAGTATTTAGCACTGTCACTATTTTTAGTACTGGTTGAGTATCACTAATCTGGAAATCTAAAATCTGAAATACTCCAAAATCTGAAACTTTTTTTTTTTTTTTTTTTTTTTTTTTTTTTTTTTTTTTTTTTGAGATGGAGTTTCACTCTTGTTGCCCAGGCTAGAGTACAATGGCTCAATCTCAGCTCACCGCAACCAGCACCTCCCAGGTTCAAGCAATTTTCCTGCCTCAGCCTCCTGAGTAGCTGGGACTACAGGTACACACCACCACGCCTAGCTAATTTTTGTATTTTTAGTAGAGACAGGGTATCACCATGTTGGCCAGGATGGTCTCGATCTCTTGACCTCTTGATCTGCCTGCCTCTGCCTCCCATATTGTTGGGATTACAGGTGTGAACCACCTTGGTCAGCCAAAATCTGAAACTTTTGAGCACTGTCATGACACACAAGTAAGAAATTCCACACCTAAACTCACACGACAGGTAACAGTCAAATGCAACTTTGTTTCATGTAAAGAATTATTAAAAATATATAAAATCACCTTCAGACTACCTGCATAAGGTATATATGAAACATAAATAAATTTTGTGTTTAGACTTGGGTTCCATCTGCAAGATATCTCATCAGGTGTATGGAAATATTAAAAAAACAACAACAAAAAATCCAAGAGACATCTGGTCCCAAGGATTTCAGATAATGGATACTCAACCTGTATTATAAATGCTTGGGTCACATAATATTTTATTATGTTTTGTAATACTGGGTTTTGTTTTGCTTTTTGAGATGGAGTATTGCTCTTGTTGCCCAGGCTGGAATGCAATGGTACGATCTTGGCTCACAGAAACCTCTGACTCACAAGTTCAAGCGACTCTCCTGCCTCACCCTCCTGAGTAGCTGAGACTATAGGCATGCACCACCATGCCCAGCTAATTTTGTATTTTTCTTAGAGATGAAGTTTCTCCATGTTGGTCAGCCTGGTCTTGAACTCCTGACTTCAGGTGATGCACCCGCCTTGGCCTCCCAAAGTGCTGGGATTACAGGCATGAGCCACCGTGTCCAGCTGTAATACTGGCTTTTAAAATAAGCATATTTAAGATAAAATTCAGGGCAATAATTGGCACATATACAAAGCAGTTTAGGAAAAGATAACTCTCTATAATGAAAACCAGTTCACATTCATTAATCTACTTGAATTTAAGCAATAAAAAGAAAGGAAAAAAACCAAAACCATTGTAGAGATTAGGTCGATGACACTAAGGATTTCACAGGCTCTCCATTTTTACAGTCACAGGTAGGGTCAGCTGCCAATGATGTTAGCTGGGAAAACTGGTAGTCACACCTGCCCTGGACTGTGTGAGTTTGGGGATGAGAGAATTGGTAAATGAGTGGTAGAATATGAAGAAAATACAATTCTATCACAGCTTAGATTTACCTGTGTTTCTTGATGCATAGAGGCCATGAGATTCACTCCTTTGGATGGTTCTGAATCTTCACATGTAATTCTTTTATCTTCATCCTCCATAATTTATAATTAACAAAATGACAGAGGGAAGAGGAACAAGATCTGTTTTGAAAGAGTATAGATATAAAGCAGTAAATTGAAAGTCTTAATTTCAAAGATTTTGGATTACACTTATTTTTTTCCTAAGAATTCTGAATGGCTAAACTATTTGAAATTAGACTATTCTTAATTTTCAGTGGCTGTTTTTTTTTTTTTTTGCTTGATTCCAGTATATTATCATTATTCTTATCCACCTTTTTACTTCTCTTGGAAAAAGCCTTTGTTGACCAATCACATGTTTACGATTTCTTTCCCATTCTGTTTTTTGAGTTATACGTCAAAGCATTCCAAGCAATATCACTAGTAAATTGTCCTAATGTGCCAACAGGATGAAGCAGGAAGGCTCCAGGTAATTTTCCCATGTTGATATAAGGAATGAGTCACTAAAGGGAAATCTCTGAATTCCATCATTTTCGGAGAATCTAGAGTTACTAACTCCTGCCTGGTTCTTATTTCTAAATTAAAGTTTAAAAATACATCACCAATGACTGAGTAGCCACAATGTCTTAGACACTATGATGAGTGCTATGGTAGTAGTCACTTTCTAGTCATTGCAGGCAATTCAAAGAATACCAAAACACATTATTTTCCATAGACTTCTTATATACTAGGAAAAATAAATTTATACCAAATGACTAAGAACATCTGTAAGAGAGACTATAGATTGGCTCAATAAACACTCACTTCAAGTCATTCTCCCTTGGCTTTCCAAGCTATACAGGCTACAAGGGAAATACAGTACTCCAGTTCCTAGCCACTTTTGCAGGGAGAGGTGGGCATTTGTCACAGTTCTATATGTGAGATTTAGGAGGGAATTTCAGGAGAGGCCTTTAGAGGATAATACTTTTTACTCTTTGTCCTCTAACATTTCCTTTTCTCCTTCCTAGAATGTAGATACGGTGCCCGGAAGAGCAGCAGACATCTTTCAAGCCTGACAATAAAAGCCCTCCACTTAGCAGATAAATAAGATGGGAGGAGCTGGTGCCCTGATGACATTTTTGAGTTGCTCCATCAGCCTTGGACTGCCAAGTATTGGGGTAATTGTTTAAACCACTATTAATCAAGCTTTATTTTAGTTTTTTTGGTCTTTTTTTAACTAGCAAGGAAACTTACTCCTAATGCAGCAAGTACAGTGAGTATCCCAATAGAGGTACACACTACAAACTTTGGTAGAACCAAAGAGAAAATTATGTAAGAGAAAGGAAAATCTAATTCAACCCATATCAAAGTGCCTAATGTGTTCCAGACACATTATGCTAGACATAAAGAGAGGATGAATTAGACAGAACTCCTCCCTCAAAGGATCATTTTCTCAGTTCAACCAAGTGGCAAGAAGTTTGCACTTAAAATTTGAAAGAACATCATAATCTTTCTACCACCACCAAGTTTCCTCCTTACAAAACACAATGGGAACCAGAGTGCCATCTCAAAAACCTTTAGTTTGTTTTTTATTATATATAATTTGTAATAAATGTGTTTATATAATGATATATATGAATGTGTGCATATGTTTCTATATATAAATATATAACTTTTTAAATTAAAAAACTTACTTCAAAATTTAGACTGATGATAAAAAAAAGAAAGTCACTTGACCAAAAAATATTAGACTCAGAGAACACTTATCTTAAAGGCATGGAGGCATGAAAGCCAGTGGTGTGTGAGGGGAAACTGCTGGAGCCTGTGGCAGGAGGCTGAAAGTAATACGAGATCAAGTTAAAGAGTTTAGGATATCACATCTCAAACCATGGCACTTGGCCTTTACCTTCTGAAGTGAATGACCTCAAATATGGTAACTGACAAGATGGGCTGGCTTCAGATTTAGATAAGCCTGAGTCTGAAGTCCATCTCCCTCATATACCAAATTGCTTAACCTCTTTGTGATTAATTCTTTATTTATGAAATGGAGACAAGAATAGTTCTAACTACGCACAGTTACCATTCAATAGCGTTGGTTATTACTACCCATGCATATTCCTTCTTGATTATCCTAAGAATCTTTAAGAATCGTTTTGCTTTCCCTATTAAGCAAAATAAAGTCATCTGAATCTTGAAGAATTTACTACTTAATCCCATTGATTTTATTTGGTCATTATTTTTCATCTGCTTTTGAGGCCCACTTCTTAATTAGGTGGACATAACATTCATTTCTTCACCTTTCTCATTGGAGAATTACATAGAAATTCTTTGGCAGTATCATTAGAATCACCTCTCTCATCAAAATTCTCAAAATCAGCCAATTCTGCCACTTACGAAAACTATTTTAAAATAGTCACCAACTAGAATTTATTATTTTTAGTAGACAAAAACTATTGGTTCAAATGAAACCTTTGTGAACAAATTTTATTAATGTTATTATGGGGTCCTTTTAAACATAAACAATCAAAACTTGACATGTTATGCCATCTGGGAATTTATATAATTTTATGTTCCAAAAAAGTTGTCTATTCTCCAATAGTCTCAACCATAAATGCCAAAGTACTTATATGTGATCAGAAAGATACTGCAGAAATAAAGGGTAAAATAAAATATCAGTTTTTTAATAAGCCCAGTAAGAGATCTTACAACTGGTCAGCTGTATTTGTTTGCTCTGTGCTGTGTTTCCATTTCTAAAAGACCATTTACAACACAGGTCTCACTTGAGAAACCAACTTAAATTTAAGAAACTTTCAAAAATGTTACTTTTATTTAAAGTGACCATGTTCACAGTATTTATTATTCATAATCATTGGGTCTTGAAATTACGAAAATGACCTTTGAAGGGGCATAAAAATATCATGGAACCCTCATTAGAAAGTTTATTCTCCTTACTCATAGAGAAGTTCCTAAGGACTCACTCAGAGCCCATTAACCCTTATTTTGTTTTTGTTTATTTATTTGTTTTTTGAGACAGAGTCTCCCTCTGTCAACCAGGCTAGAGTGCAGTGGCACAATCTGGGCTCACTGCAATCTCCGCCTCCTGGGTTCAAGAGGTTCTCATGCCTCAGCCTTCTGAGTAGCTGGGATTACAGGTGCCCCCATCTTGCCTGGATAATTTTTTGTATTTTTAGTAAAGAAGGGTTTCACCATGTTGGGCAGGCTGGTTTCAAACTCCTGATCTCAGGTGATCCACCTGCCTTAGCCTCCCAAAGTCCTGGGATTACAGGTGTGAGCCACCGTGCCCAGCTCTCATTTTGAAAACAATTCTAATGACTTTGCTCCTTTGTTTTTTAAACCCTAAAAGATTAGATGTTAAACATTAAAATTCAGGAAGAGATTGCTGTGATAGAGGCAAACTGAGAGCAGCATTAGTGACTGATGGCGGTGAAAGAGATGAAAAAGACAGCAATCTAAGTAATGAATGTGGGGATAAATACCTTTCCACAAGTGACATTTATAATATTGTCCTGCCAAGCACCTTTCCCCTCACCTTTTTTGGTTGTTACCAAAAAATGTAACTTCTTTTTTCTTTTTTTTGATTTTCTTTTGTGAAATCCATGCCTACTCTATTCTCCATCCATGTGGTCATGTGAGATTGTCATTCGGACCTCCCCAACCCACGTGCTCCACCAATGATCCAGGGATGAGGATCATTGACAGGGCTGTTCAATAAGGAAACTCCTTCCTCTGGTTACACTGATGGTTCCAGGCATGAGGACTGACACATATCTCGCCAATAAGAGTCAGCTTTGGGTATTTACTGGAACCATTGGAAAAGAGCTCTCTTTCTGTTTGGGTTCCTAAACCTAGTCTTGCTAGTGAAGACACTTGTGATACCCAAGAAAGCCTTCCAAAGAATGAAATGACTACAGAGCAAAGAAGATTCTCAAAGTGGAAAAGGAGAAAAACTCCAAATTAAATGTACAAACAACCAAATGTTGTTGGTACATCCAGAAGCAGCTATGTTTGAGTTAGGTAAGCCAATAAATTCCTTTTATTAAGCCAGTTTGAGTTGGGTTTCTGTCACTTGCCACCAAATGAATTCTCAGTAAGAATCTTCATACCTGAATTGGCCCTGAAAGATGTCCTGTATAATAAATAATATTTGGAAAGGTGATTCTCACCTGTAATCCCAACACTTCAGGAGGCTGAGGTGGGTGGATCACCTGAGGTCAGAAGTTTGAGACCAGCCTGGCTAACATGGTGAAACCCCGTCTCTACTAAAAATACAAAACTTAGCTAGGTGTGGTGGCGGGCACCTGTAATCCCAGCTACTTAGGAGGCTGAGGCAGGAGAATCGCTTGAACCCAGGAGGCAGAGGATGCAGTGAGCCGAGATTGTGCCAGTGCACTCCAGCCTGGGCGATAGACTGAGACTTTGTCCACTTCTAAAAAAACAAAACAAAACAAAATGTAATTCTCCATCTTCAAGAAAATACAAAGAAAAAGTTATGTAAGTATATTTTCTGCTTAAAAGGCACTAAAATAGATAGTACAATTTAGAGATTTTATTTAAACAGAATGTTAAACTAAACAAAAATCTGCTATTTAATAACATAGGTGTCAGTTATCCAGAAAATTAAGTGAAAAGCTTTGTTTTTCAACAGTGCTGGTAAAATGAAATATTGTAGGCAATGAATCTTAATTATTTTCTCATTGTATTCATGGAAATCTTTTAAAATCCCAACATTAAACTACTTCTTTAGTACCAGAAAAGGTACAAGAGAACTGTAAAGAATTTACCTGAGATACTAGGTGTCTGTGATAGAAAAATTAAAAAGTAGGAGAAATATAGAGAAACTAGATGGTTTCTAAGTAATTAAGAATCACAGACTAATGGAATGATAAAAGTTGGGAAGGCCTTTAGAACTTAACTAGGCCTACCTCTTTAATATTTCAATGAGGAAATTAAAGCTTAGAGACGCTAAATAGTTTTTCTCAAATAATATGGCCAATATCGGCCTCAAGGTAAAACTATAAAAATTTGTATAATGAGATAGTTCTCTAATTTATATCTTTGACTTCATGTCATTTCTACCAAGTCACTGCATTACATTTTTTAGTTTGTTATAATATTTTGTTTAAAATCCTATTCACATATGCATACACAACTTTAAGTTTGAAAACACCATGCTGAAAGCAAATGTAAATATTTTTATTTTCTACCTTGCATCATGTTCAGCTTTACACTTTCCCATTTTTACAAATGTTACAGTTTATTAGAAGCAAAACGAGTTATTAATCCATTTAGGTTGTACAATATTGGTGGCAAAATGAATGGAATGTCTATTTGCATGACAAATTTTGTTTATATATTTTGAATTATTAGTGCCAGTGTGGTGGCTCACACCTGAAATCACAGTACTTTGGGAGGTCAAAGTGAAAGGATTTCTTGAATCTAGGAGTTCAGGACAAGCCTGAGCAACATAGCAAGACACTGTCTCCACAAAAAAATTAAAAATTAGGAGGGCATGGTGCTGTGCACCTCTAGTCCCAGCTACTTGGGAGGCTGAGATGGGAGGATCGTTTGAACCTTGGAGGCTGAGGCTGCAGTGAGCCATAATTGTGCCATTGCACTCAGCCTGGGCAACAGAATGAGACCTTATCTCAAAAAAAGAAAAATAAATGAATTATTAATCAATAGACTAAAGAGATAACTTGCCATTTAGGCATGTCTTAAGATTCTAAGAATTAAGGAGCTTTTGTTTTTAAAAAATTCCAGTTCAACTGTAATGTTTTGAGAGATTTTTGTATATCAGAAAATTATACTGAGAACTAGGAAGGCAAGGTATCTTTTAGACCAGGAGTTCCCAACCCCAGGGCCATGAGCTGGTATTAGGTGGTCTGTCAGGAACTGGTCCACACAGCAGGAAGTGAGCAGCAGGCAGGAGAGCCAGTAAGCTTCATCTGTATTTACAGCTGTTCCCCATCTCTAGCATTACTGCCTGAACTCCGCCTATTGTCAGATCAGAAGCAGCATTAGATTCTCATAAAAGCTCGAACTCTATTGTGAGCTATGCATGTGAGGGATCTAGGTTGCGGACTCCTTATAAGAATCTAATGCCTGATGATCTGTTATTCTCTCCCATCGCCCCTAGATGGGACCATCTAGTTGCAGGAAAACAAGCTCACGGTTCCCACTTATTCTGCATTATGGTAAGTTATATAACTATTTCATTATATATTACAACAGAATGATAATAGAAATAAAGCACACAATAAATATAACGTGCATGCATCCTCCCGAAGCCATCCCTGCCTTCCCCGGTCCATGGAAAAATTGTCTTCCACAAAACTGGTCCCTGGTGCCAAAATGATTTGGAATTGCTGTTTTAGATAAACACTATAAGTGCCTATATGCAGAAACAAAATATTTTTTTGGCTTCTGAGTGAAGCTATTGCGTTATTTAAACTGATAAATAACTTGTAAAGTATAGTAGAAAAACCTTGGTCTGTTTCCAATGGCAAAATTTTATAGGTCTTTAAATTCAATAAATAACATGAATTCAGTCAAGGTTCTATGGCTCAAATACAGAATTCAATAGAGGAGTGAGGTCTGGCCTAAGCCAAGGGACTTGGCTGTTATGACTAATGTGACTGCCTACTTGCTCCTCAGTTAGTAGGTGAGGTATTTTCTGAAAATACATGCAAAGGCTGCAGGCCATTCATGCCTTTCTCTAGCATACCCAATATTCAGAGTTTCCTATGGGACTGACACCCATATTTAGACACTCTCTTGGCTTAATTTGAACTTTATTTTCTAGCACTACAGACATATGCCACCAAAATTATAGAGCTATGAAATTAAATAAAGTTTTCTTGGCTGGACATGGTGTTTCAAGCCTGTAATCCCAGCACTTTGGGAGGCTGAAGTGGTAGATCACCTGAGGTCAGGAGCTCAAGACCAGCCTGGCCAACATGGTGAAACCCTGTCTCTACTAAACAAATACAAAAATTAGCCAGGCATGGTGGTGTGTGTCTGTAATCTCAGCTACTTGGAAGGCTGAGGCAGGAGAATTGCTTGAACCCAGGAGGCGGAGGTTGCACTGAGCCGACATCACAACACTGCACTCCTGCCTGGGCAACAGAGTGAGGCTCCGTATTGGAAAAAAAAAAAAAAAAAAAAAAAAAAAAAAAAAAAAAAAAAAAAAAAAAAAAAAAAAAAAAAAAAAAAAAAAAAAAAAAAAAGTTTTCTTAATCTTTTCACCCCACTTGAAAGAAAACTGCCCTTTTCAAGATCAAGAATAGAAGCAGTTCGATATACGTACCTGTTACGGAAATAAACAGAAAAAAAAAAAGTCCATTGACAGCAGTTGACTTTGGGAAGGGAAATGGAAGAGGAGTGGCTGGACTTTCATTTTTATTTTCTACATTATTAAGATTTAATAAGATTTTCTTATGTAATTTTAAATACTTTTTTTTTTTTTTTTTTTGAGATGGATTCTTGCTCTGTCACCCAGGCTGGAGTGCAGTGGCATGATCTTGGCTCCCTGCAACCTCCGCCTCCTGGGTTCAAGTGATTCTCCTGCCTCAGCCTCCTGAGGAGCTGGGACTAGGGGCACCAGCCACCATGCCCGGCTAATTTTTGTATTTTTACTAGAGGCAGGGTTTTACCATGTTGGCCAGGCTGGTTAAACTCCTGACCTTGTGATCCACATGCCTCAGCCTCCCAAAGTGCTGGGATTACAGGTGTGAGCCACCGTGCCCAGCCCTGGCTTTCATATTTTTAAGCCAAATACCTTTTCTCAAATGAAACCTTATCCTTAAATCCTACAAGTGGAACTAAGGTGGTGCTGCAGGAGCCCTGTCTACTCACCTCTGTTCCTTCTGGCAAGTAAAGCATACTGTGGAAACCATTTCTGTAAACATGGTTTCACATAGAGAGATATTTGTTAAATATTCTCTTTTTTCAAGTTATCTTACTAATCTAAATGTTTACAAGTACTTTCTGTAATATTCCAGAAGAAATAAAGGAACTATCAACTTGCGAATGTCCTTAGGCTCTCAGTCAAGTAAAACAGACTTACTGCTATCATTTCAATTACTACTAAATATGGATAAAGACTTTTTACTCTTGTTATTTGCTGTCTGTGATTTGGATAGGCTGACATTTAATGGGGTAATCTTATGCAGAATTTACATATATTGCTTGCTATGGTTTGAATGTTTGTTTCCCTCCAAAATTTGGATGTTGGAATGTAGCTGTCAAGGTAATAGTATTAAAGAGGGAGGTACTTTTGCGAAGTGATTAAGTCACCAACACTCAACCCCCATGAATGGGATTAGTGCTCTTCTAAAAGGGGTCGAAAGGAGCAGCCTAGTCCCTTTTGCTCTTTCCCTTCCACCATCTGGGAACATAGCCTTAGTCTCTTTTTTCATGTGAAGAAGACATGGGAAGAAGTCACCATCTTACAAGCAGAGATCAAGTCCTAAACAGACGTCAAATCTAATTGGCACCTTGACCTTGGACTTCCCAGCCTCCAGAACTGTGAGAAATAAATTTTGATTATTTATAAATTATTTACTTTGTGGTATTTTGTTACAGTAACAACAATAGAGTAAGACATTGCTAGAGTTCATGCCTTTGAAAGAGCATCACTGTGATTATTCAATATTCTATGTTGATTCTACCTTTCTGTTCATCTATTCATGTATTGAAAGTATAGGTTCTCAGTCTCATATCGTATTTCTATATAGAACATACAGAAACATTCCAGTTTCTGTACTTGCTTATCAACACTGATCTAATTCTCATTTCCCTAAAGGAGCCCTACCCAGCAATGAGGAATTCAGATCAGGCTCAGAGTAGGGCTTAAAATTTTCTTTGACAATTAATTACCAAAATGACTAACAATGTTTCCCTGAATGAGACTACCTTATCTGAAAGCCTTAGGTGAGTCAAATACATGGGGCCAAGTTACCAAAGGAAAACAATCACTGTTTTGAGTGTAATCTTATTGACTCATGAAGCAAAACACTATATAATGAGATATGAATAAAAGGAAATTGCCCCTACATAAGAAGGGATCCATTACTTGCTTTCATCCTTTCTATTCTCTCTCCTCACCAAAGGGAAATGTATTTATTAAAAGTTTATTATTTCTAGGCCCACTAAAATCAGAATCTACAAAGTCTGAATCTACCCCAAGTGGGACAGACATGAATTATTGACTGTCTAAATGCCAAGTGTTCAGGTAGGCCAGTGGGTCCCTTCCCCAGCCCTTGGGATAAATCAGGACTTGTCTAAATAAATCCCTGTAACAGCATTCCTTATTGCCACTTATTGATTAAGGACTGAACATGATTCATTTCTTGCCATTGGAATTTGTAGGCAAGACTATTGGGGCACATTAGATAAGATTTTCCTTCCTAATAAAGACAGAAAAGAAGAGGAAAATTCTCCCCTCTTTTTGTTTTTAAATGACCAAGTGAAGAGGCAAGGGAAGTTGGGGTTGTAGATGGGTTTCTTGGGACAATTCCAGCAGCCAACATTTACCCATGAAGAAAAGGCAAGATTAGCCAAACAAAGAAAGCAACCTAGAGCCCAGATATTATTGAGCTACTGAACAAACCCCTGACCCACCTACCTTCAAACATCTTCGTGTATGAGAAAAGTAAATTAGTATTTTTGAACGGATTTTTGGTTGAATATGCTGTTATTTGCAGCCAAAAGCATCCTAACCAATACAATAGGTGATCTTGCTGTAGAACCATCCCGGAGAACCCCTGATGAAGAGTGATAATGAGGAACCTCTGGCTTATAAACTCTAGCTTCTACCTCTCTACCTTCTTGATATAGTACAAAATCATCACAGAGGATGAATGATCAGAGCACTGCCTTTGTGTTGAAATTTCTCAAAAATGTCCAGAAAGTAACATTTTAGAAAGTTAAAAATTAGTGCCAAGGTTTTTACTGTCATTCTTTTAGTGAACAGAAATTATTTGGATTGTAAGATTATATATTTCCCGTCCTCTACCCTGAAGTTAAATTGTAATATTTGAATACTGAATGAAGAAAAGTTGGACTTACAAACATTTCGTTGTTTTCCAAATTTCTACTCATGAAACAAAATAATAACAAAATATTACTACCACTGCTGCCTGGAGTTTCATTTCTTGCTTTTTCTACTTGAAGAAATTCAAAATCTAACTCAAACGCCACTTTCTCAGTATTTCTAACTCCAATATTGACAAACTCCCTCATTTTCCTCTCTGAGGATTCATTCATTCATCCATTCATTCAACAAACAAGAGCTATTATGCCCTTGTTATGTCCTAGTCCTTGAGCTGAGGATTCAGAAGTGAACAGTTTTACATAGTTCCTATATTTAGATCTCGCAATCTAGTCAGAGAATGACAAATGATTCCTAAGCAATCGTAATGAAATATGGTTAAGTTTCAACTTAAGACACATGCAATAACAACTCTATCCCTTAACAAGTTTCATTTTCTTTTCTTTTTTGAGACGGAGTATCACTCTGTCACCCAGGCTGGAGTGCAGTGGAGTGATCTCGGTTCACTGCAACCTCTGCCTCCTGGGTTCAACTGTTTCTCCTGCCTCAGCCTCTAGAATAGCCGGGATTATGAGCGTGCGCCACCATGTCCAGCTAATGTTTATATTTTTAGTAGAGATGGGGTTTCACCATGTTGGCCAGGCTGGTCTCGAACTCCTGACCTCAGGTGATATGCCCACCTCGGCCTCCCAAAGTCTTAACAAGTTTCTGTGGTGCGTTAAGCACAAGAGTAACAAAGATGACTACGAGGCAGTCTGTCCTTTAAGGGGGGGTGATCAGAGACTGATATGTGTTTACCAAATTTGTTTCCTCTTCTTCCTGGGCCTACAGTACATTTCCAGTCTCCCTTGCAGGTCGGTGTGGCATGTGACTGAAGTTTGGCCAATGGGATGCGGGCATAAAGAGTATGTTATTTCCAGTCCTCGGCCATAAGAAACAATCTTCATGCAATCCTCTACATAGCTTCTCTTTTTCTGTCCGTTGCCTAAGCACTCCAAGGTCTTAGGGGATGGCAAAACCGTAATATAAAAGGAGTTTCGGTTCCTGAATCATTGAGTAGAAGGCCACCAGCTGAACACGTGAAAGGACTTGACATGAACGAAAAATAAGCCTGAACTACGTTGAGCTACTGAGATTTTTTACTTTATCTCTTAAAGCAGCTATTGTTGTCTTAAGGTTATATTCTCCAGTCAATAGCATTTGATGATTCTTAGCACCTCAAGAATGCTAATCTAGTCCACAAAGGCAAGACCCTCTGGTTAATCTGAGAACTAAAATAAAAGCAAGCAAGAAAAACCCACGCCAACACCTGACAAGAGTAAACACACGCGCGCGTCACGTTACTGAGTGAACAAACAGAAAAGGCTGGCCCTTGCTCTCGTCCCCAAACCAGCAGGCCTACAGGGTATCCACCGCGGGCGCTGGGTTTATTTTTACCCTTAGTGTCTCGGGGCCTCCCACTTGGCAGTCTCCAGCGGAGTCGACCAGGCTCAGTCGGATTAGGAAACAGGCTGTCAGGAAGGCAGCGGAGCCTGGTCTTGCCACCCGAGCGCTGGGGTTCCCGGTTTGCGCATCGTTCCAAGCTGAGCCGTGAGGCAGCGAAGATTGCAGATAAACGGCTCCCGGGCGCGGCACCGCGTATAGGCGGGCGTGCCTTTCGCGCACACCCTCGGGGCGAGTCAGCGCAGGGAGGTCCGACCCGTCGGCGCCCGTACAGGATCTGGAGCAAGCCCGGGTTGGTCTGGGGCCCGCAGCGGTCGCCCCGTGTGCCCTCCACCGGGTTTCGGGTCGGGCAGCGGGCAGGTGGCGCCATGCCAACCACGGGCCCACATCCTAGGGCCTCGGAGCCGCACCGCGTGGCCTTTCAGCTGCTTATCCTCACTGGGCGGGTCCGCGGGCTGCTGCTGCCGGGACCAGCGCGCTCCCGGGGAAGCTTCCGGGAAAGCTCACCCAGGGAGCGCGGACCCAGGCGCCGAGTCTTCCCGGAGATGATCAGACCCGGCGCGAGGAGCGCAGCGCAGGCTCCCTGGGACTCCGCGGCGCAAGAGGGGCAGCCAATTGCTTATAGTTGCTGAAACCAACCTGTAAGTTGTATATCAGTACTCCACCTGTGAGCTGTGCTTTTTTTTGGAAGTGTCTTCTCAGTTGCGGTGGGAAGATAGGATTCCTTCTTAAGGTGACCAATTAAATGGCGAGATGAAAGACTTGTTCTGCGCCCCCCCCCCGCCCTTTATCGATTAACACCTCCAGTGTGATTCTATTTAACTGTTATTTCATATTTGTGTCTTCCTTTTCTCCGTATTTCCTCTTCTGTGTGTGTAGACGCGCGCACCCCTTACCTGTTTTTCACTCCTGTAAGCAAGTGCCAATTTTAATCACCGCTTTTCAGGCAAGGGAGACTATCCTCAAATTTCTCCACCAGACAGAAAGCATTCATTCTTGTCTCTCACGTCCTCTTTTGTGATGAACCTAGGTTCCATCCAATACCCTTCAGATCATCTGAAACGATTGTTTTCCTAAACTGAACTCTTCCTCTCCTAAAGCTTGCAAAAATTTCTAGCGGCATTCAGCTTCCTCTTACCACAGGAATGACATATATTTTTCCTTTTAGTCTTATGTCCTTCATTAATATATCACCTGATTTGATTAACATGACTTTGGGGAACATTGAATTTTTTGGCTAGATTTTACTTCGTTTTTATTGCTGATAGTATTTATAAACATGTTTTACAGTTTATGGTCAGCTCCAAAAAAGACTAAGTTAGAGCATTTGTTAATGTTGGAGCCCATTTTGTAGAATGCATTGTACATTTTTTAGAATTAATTTGTTCACAGCTATACATATATTATACATGTATACCTACTCACAGCATAAAGTATTTCATAGCATATCTGAAAGAGTCAGTGTCTAGAATTCAGTAGAGAAGTTACAGCATTTTGATTATGATACACAAAAAGACACCCAGGTGATTTAGCTTAACTCCTTAATTTCCCAAACCAGAAAACTAAAATCCAAGATAAATTGGGTGACTTGGTCTAGGTCACAAACCACAGTTATCCATAATTCAGTATGTAATGCCTGGTCCAGAACCACAGAGATATTCTTATAATCAATGGACTCTTTCGGAATGCTAGTTAAAATATCCTTTTGTGTGAATTTTAACCTACCTTTTATCAACGGCATGATATTCTTACTCATACATAAAGTGTTGTCTTTTCATTGTCCATTTCAAAATTTTCCTTGTTAATATTAAACTTTTAGGAAAAACAGCTAAGAGTAACTGCACATTTATTATCTCAGTGTTCATCATACCACTTGGTTCTTTGAGGCTGCAACAAGTAAAAAACAAACATAAAACCCTTAAATTAAAATGAAAAGACTTTGCCCTGACAATGTTATAGAATTATTATCCATAAACTTTTTCTTGAAAATTTATTTTCTTTAATTACATGTTTCCTGTTACATGATTTATAAATTTACATTTGTTTATCCAGAGACTATGTCCAAATTTTATGACCTCTTGTCTGTTACTCTGGAGTTTGATGAAGAAATCTGTACTTAATCTAAAATAGAAATCCCTCAAACTGAAATATTGTCAGTTAGCTAACTATATATTTCTTAGGCCCATGTCATGTATCATTGGTTATTTTAATAAAGATTGTTTAGACGGAGAAAATAGTATTTAATAAGGGATGACATCCATTAAGTATAAACCCTGAATTATTTTTCATAATGTAACAGATTGACAATTTAGAACTCCTTTACTCCTTTTACTATAAGTTATTGAAGCCAAACTCCTTCCTACCTTTACTGTTCATTTATGATGGTGTAAAATTTTAACATTAGGATCTACATACAGAACAATGCAGAATTATATAAAAATATTTGAACAATGAAAAATAGAATAAAGTGGAATTATTATTTAGCTACAGGGTCTTGCTCTGTCACCCTGGAGTGCAGTGACATGATACTTCCTGCCTCAGCAATCCTCCCTATGTTAACCAGGCTGGTCTTGAACTCTTGGCAGCAAGTGATCCTCCTGCCTTGGTCTCCCAAAGTGCAGGAATTACAGGCATGAGCTATCCTAGTTCTGAAATTACTATCTTCTTCCTTAAAAGAAGCAAAAAACAAAAAACGCTTTTTTCTTCATATTTACATTTTAATTCTATATGCTGCAATTGGCTGTTTGTATCATCCAAAGTCATGTGTTGAAATCCTAAACCCCAATATGATACATTAGGAAGCGGGCCTTTGGGAGGTAATCCGGTCATACGGGTAATGCCCTCATGAACACGATTTGTGTCCTTTTAAAAAGACACATAAGAGTTTGCCTTTTTTCCCTGCTCTTGCTATGTGAGGATGTAGCAAGAAGATCACCATCTGCAAACCAGGAAGTGGGCCCTAACCAGATACCATATCTGCTCACATGTTGATCTTGCACTTCCTAGTCTCCAGACTGAAAAAGAAATGTTTGTTGTCTATGACACTCAGTCTATGGTAATTTTTTGTAGCAGCCCAAAGTGACTAAGACAGATTCTTACAAATTGAGGTTTATTTTAAAAACTATTCTCTCGCAATGAGTTCAACACTTTTATTTCATTTCCTTACAGTGACTTTAGAAGAGATTACAAAGGTATTAATACACTTAAAAAATCAGACTCTTGCAAACAGGGACATTATTAAAAAGGGCTTATTTTCATTAACATGTCATTAATAGGAAAGAGATGATTGGCGAGTTTTCTTCATAACCAGATTCACCGCAGACAGGAAGGGGCTGCCTTCCTTCCCACCACAGAAATCCTGAAATCACAAGCTCCAGCCTCCGTCAATGATGACAGGGTTACCAGTTACATAAGCAGACTGCAGTGATAAACACAAGGAGACAAAACAATTAACCAGGTTTGATACAGGCTGTTTTTTCAAATTTTCCTATGACTAGGATAACTACACAATTTACTCTTGTCCTAACAGGACACCTCGCTTAAACACTTCATTCAGGGAAATCCAAATTAAAGTTTGGTTGATTCAGAACTGCTGAGTTCTGTGATCTGGAACTAAATGGCTTCTGGCTGGTGCCTAAGCATATGTCACTGTGAGGTGTTCGGTCTCAGAATCCCAAAATTAAGGAATGGTGATATATAGCCATTTCCCAATTAGGATATAGGCTAAATGCACATTTTCATTTTAAAACTCAGAACTATTGAAAACTAGCTAAATTTTATGCCACTAATAAACTTTTGAACATGTGTATCAGTAATAAAATGGTCATATTAATGACCAGTTTTTAAAAAAAAAGACAGCATATATTTAGTTAGTCAATATAAGTAGATAATTCCAAGAGCTGAAGCATACTAAATGTTTTAAAAATTTACATGAATAACTATAATCTATTAAGCGATACAAATATTCTATATTAGTTTCAGACATACAAATCTTTATAAAGCGAAAGGATTTAAAAAATAATTACTGGTTTATTCCCATAAATTATTCATTTTCTAAAAGTTAAGGCTGAAGTGATCTTTTTGGTAGGAGCTTTAAAATCCTTTAACTTAAAATGGATAATAAAGACTCAATCAGTTCTAAACTCATCTAAAGCCCAAAACAATGGAAGAGGAAGTACGGACAATCATAATAAATAGAGAAATTTTAAGAGTTCAATATATAAAAGTTGGTAATATTCAGTAGGTGAACTAGGGAGTTGTTAGGCACTTTACCAAATAAATGCCTCCAGCTCCCCCAATTTCTTTTTTTTTTTTTTTTTCCCTTTT